TTCTTTCACTTGAGTAAAAATGTCCCCAAGTACTTGTACATTTACTGGAGTATAGATTTTGGATACTCTACCCACCTCTGAACAAGAAGCATTTCAAGTAAAAAAAAACACACATTTTGTTCAAGTATTTATGTCAAGTTTTATTATGATAAATGAAAGCTGTCTTTGCAAAATAAATTGTTAATTGTTCACAGAACACACTGTTGTAGCGTAGCAGCAAGCACCATAAGAACAGTTTATGTAACATGGCAATATGAATAAAATAAGAACAAAAATATTATATAAAACTCTTATTCTTTACCTTCAAAAGATGAATGCCTCTTGTTTTGCACTTTGTGAAACAAATCAGCATTAGTGAATACAGAAAATTGATTTAAAAAGATGAAAAAAATGACATCTCTAAATCTGACATCCTTCATATGAGATACGACACTCAGATGACTATTAATGCATCTGTACCAATCAGAAGTCCTTCATCTAACTATACATGCTTGAACCTGCTTTTGAAATGTGCGTCTAAGTCTACTGGTCCAAAGCTTGCAACCTTACAAACATTTATAGCATACAGACATGAAACTATTCTCTTTATTTCACAATGAAAATGTGAAGCGATCACCCTCAGAAATTCCTTTTTGCTCTGAAGAACTAAGCGACTGTTGAAATGATACGACGAAATATCTCGCGGGCACATCAGCGCTGATTTGGAAATTCCTACGCCAGGCTCCTCTGTCTGGGCTTGATTCTGGGGTACAGCTATTGGAAGAACAACATTTATCGGTCATTTCTGGTAATAGTGTCCATTATTATCTTTGTAGTTTCACTGTTGTATGGTAGGGGGCGCTACTGTGCATCTGAAATACTTTAAAATGTGAATTATATCAGAAGCAAGCAATAGAAAAGCATTGCTGTCTCGCATGAAACTGATGCAGTTATGAAACACAACACATGGTTTTGGTGATATCACCTTAAAATCAGTACCTCGATAGTAGTTGGGTTTAGGTAATGGGTATTTTTGGTTACACTTTATTTTAATTAACAATTCATACTGTTAACAAACCATTATCTAAGACTTTTAGCTCAATAACCTATTAATTAGCTGCTTATTGATGGTTATTAAGGTAGCAGTTGGGCTTAGGTACTGGGTACGATTAAGGTTGTAAAATAAGTTCATACTATATAAGTGCTAATAAACAGTTAATATCTTAAAACTAGGCAGGTAATAAAAGGTGAGAACTGTTACTTCAACTAAACAGTTACCATTTTTGTAATGATAGAACTTAGTGACGCTGACCATTCATTCTGCAGTCGCGACCATACATTTATAAAATGAAGGCACTTCCTTACCCCAAGGAGATTGCGAGGTATGTAGCCCTCATTGTCAGCACATCTTGCCCACCACCACTCTGTTTCTTCCCCATCCTCTCTTCGTAGGACAGTCAGGCAGTCTCCTTCCTTAAATGACAACTCATCTGGGCTCTCACCATCATAGTCCCACAGGGCATACACTACGCCTCTGTTCATGATGCCCATCTTCTCTTGCACTCCTGTAGAAAAAAATAATACTATAAATTTACACTTGCAGGTATTATTGTGATACGCTACAAGCTGAACTATGATGGTGGCTTGACACCTAACATGGAATTAGGTAAGTTATGTAATTGTATAAGGGGGAAAACCCTTTAGATCACTCATATTGCCAAGAAGCTTTGATGTATCATCACTAACCTATCAAATGTCCCCATAGCAATAAAACAGTATAACCTAGCAACCATTTAAAAACAGCAATATCTCTTCATCAGAACATCGTAGGGACCTAGGCATTGTCTTGTTTGACTCAGGCTAGCAAATGGGACTTCCTGTGTACTATGCATGGTAACAATGATAATGGAAGCCAAGTGCTAATAACGATTAGCTACATGCTATGAATGATTATCTAAATGCAATAACATATGCTAGAAATGCCTACTAAGTATCAGAATTTGATCAAACAAATACACGAGCATTGCCATTTAACAACTGCTTAGCCACCTAACAATGCCATAAACGTTTTAGCAACTGCCTAGCAACCACTTAGCAACCGCCGCCGTGCTTCCTGCCGACTGCCATTCCCAGTCCTAGTGCAGTCACGTTGGCTTTCTCAAGCCAACATCAAAGTTTATCAATGAACTTTAGGTTCTAGTTTTACTATTTAATTTGTAGACATGTAAATACACACAAGTACTAGTAAGGCAGTTGATGACATGATGAGCAAGCGTGTGAATATGCTGAATTAAAACGGAAAAATAACTAAATAAAAGGGATGGATCTGTCATACAGTGCTATTGTGGCTGCGGTGTGTCATATGACAAACATGACTCGTTGCCACGGAAACATCAAAGGTGAAACAGCAAAAAACTCCTGGTTCCAAATAGAATATTTTTAACTCACCAGTGAAAGGGATAATAACAGTAGTAAAGCAGCGGTGGTAGAGTTACTTTGCACTGCAAAACTAAAGACACATTTTATTCACTCGCCTTTTTTGGATCATTCAATTTTCCATCTGTTGTCATGTACAGCTACACTGCAAAAAGCTTTTCTTACTTAGTAATTTCGTCTTGTTTCTATTCCAAATATCTAAAAAATCTTACAATTAAAGAAATATGAGTACATAATGATGCTTAAAACTTCTGTTTGAGATTATATCTCATTAAGATTATTTTTCTGACCCCATTGACAATTTTTTTTGCTTGTTTTAAGCAAACAATCACTTTATTTTGAGGTGTGTTTTTTTCAGAAAACAAGACAATTTTTATGCTACTTCATGTGTCTAGTATGTATCTTGATTTAAAAAGGTTTAGATATTATTATTATTATTATTATTATCAGGGCATGACATCAACTTTTTTGATCACCAGCCACTGTGGCTAGTAGATTTCTAACATTACTAGCGACTCGCCATTTTCACTAGCCACACTTTTTTTGTTGGGAAAAATATTTTATATGCATAAATTTGACTTTGACATGCTAAGATGACTTGCTTTAGATGTTGTGTTATGTCCACAACATGCCTCCTCATTCATTTAACCTCTTGTGTTTCAAAACATGGAAAATACAGCTGTGTAGGTACACTTTTTAACTCAACAAAACTTTTCTTTAAAAAAACATTAAATTAAAAAAAAGAAGTATTGTCATGTATCTAAAAAATGCACAGTAATCGGTCCTGGCTAAAAGTCGCAGATCAGCAGTTACCTACACATAAACGGGGAGTAATCTACCATTAAAGCAATGTTATTGTAAAAATGTAATTAACCATATTAACAAAAATAACCAAGCAAAAGAAAGCAGGTGAAACATACCGTGTGTGATAATGAAAAGATGATCACATGCACACTGTTAATATAGGCCTGTTAATCTGTTCAAAGAATAATTAAAATGAAAGCATTGACTGCTGCTGCTCCTTGCAAAGTAATGTGGTTTTTTTTTTAAATCTTGAGCTCTTGAAAGCAGCAGGACTGTGGGTGCACGATCATCACTCTTTGTCCAGTCTATTTTAAAGGAAATCGATCACACCAGTTGCGCTTCCTCTAGGCACGGGATTTGCGCAAGTAAACGGGAGCGCGCGCGCACTTTTTAACAGTCACGTGCATCACATCACCTGTGCGCACGAGTGGTCAACCTCTCGTTCGGTATTTACCTTCTTTTTTGCTGTTTTGCTCGCGCGAACACAGTTATTTTTGTCAGTCGTGCTGCTCCTCGATTCTAAGATCACATTTGCATGAATATCGGGCCATGCTTATTGTCGAATTCTGCTTTTAAGAAAAATACGATTTAAAAATGATTTCCATCCAGCCAAAGTGGCTAGTGGAGGTGTCTGTCTAACCCGCCAGAGCTGAAATCTACCCGCATTTGGCAGGTGTTAATGTAAAGCCCTGATTATTATTATTATATCTCAGGAATGAGCCTGAGCTTTTTTAAATAAAGGATTGGAAATGAATGCTTTCTTGTTTTTGTTTTTTATACACTTATGCCTGTTTCACACCGCAAGCGTCAGCGGCGCGTGAGCAGAGCGTGCGCAGCGCGTATGTCGAGCAGAAGCAGCACGCAGGCGTTTGCCTTTCACACCAGCTGCGTCTGCAGCACGCAGCTCTTCAGCAGCTGCTGCAGAGATAAACCTATCTCTGTCTATTCTATCTAGTTACCCATGTCGCCATATACAAATACACTCTTTAAACTTTTCATCTGCACCAAGGCCCCTCCTATGCTGTTTCTTTAACCTGCAAATGTTTATTTTACAAATTTTATGAATCAAATAGTACTGTATGCTTCTCAAGCTATATGAGAAGTTCTACAGTCAGAAGACAATCGACTGTGATATCATGTCATTTGTTTTTTGATTGTCAGGTTGCTGTAAGCCTATATATAATAATATTTATACAATATAGTTATAATAATATTTATACAGATCAAACTAGTGTTACCTTCTCCGCTTCAGTGATGTCCAGCGGCAGAATAACAGCTTGTTAATTCCTGCTCGTGCAGATGATGAGACGGACAAAAGTAAGCAATGCATGCCATTCTTTTTCTTATTTTCGTGTTGTCAGATTCACAGTGCAAACAGCTCCCGGTAGGAATAACTCGAGTGAACATAAAACAAAGCCGATTAAAACTTTCTTCCTTTGCTCAGCTGCACAGAACACAGCGAGTTAACATCATCCAGCATGCGTGTCGAACTACACTACCCACAATACACTTCGCTATGGACTACAAATCCCGTAAATATTCTATTTCCCCTCTCCTTAAACACTAGCGTGCAACTTAAGCAAAACTGATACTAAAATTGTTTTACATTGGGTTTTGTAGTTCGGGCCTAAATAAATGTTTGTGCCGTTTTTAATCGTTTAAGTTCATTTGATTGACTATATATAAACCATTTGACATTATTAACGCATTTATTGGGTAAAATTGCTACTTTTTACTGTCATTCAATGTGTTTTGGTCATTATCAATGCACCGTCACTTTAATTGAGCGTGAGCAGCGCATCAAAAATAGACCCAGTGCCGAAACTATTACTGCACTGCTGCTTCGGCGACGCTCACGCCTCGCTCTGACGCGCCGCTGCTGCGTGCGATATGAAAGCTCTAATCTGTTAACATGGACGCCGAAAACACACGCGCTGCTCACGCTCTGCTCACGCGCCGCTGACGCTTGCGGTGTGAAACAGGCGTTACTCTTTTCCCCATTCAAAACTGTACGAGTGACATGTCTTGTGTCTTTCATTTTAAGTGATGTGGTGCTCCTCATTTGGTGTGAACCCAGCCTTAGATCTATTTCGATATATTTCCTAATGGGAGGACAGGCTTCTCACCATAGAGAAACTGAGAGCATTGGGCATAACCTTCCTCCATCTCTTCACACTTGTCTGCTGCTGTCTGCAAGTCGCTGTAGGTCATGGCATACACAGCAGCTCCCGATTCCACCAGGAATTTACACACTTGCACATTATTACAAGAAGCGGCACAGTGCAGGGGAGTCCTGAGGTAGAGAAAGAGATGTATTATTATGTTGCATTTAAACTAAGGATTAGGGCTTTTCATAAACACGTTTTCACTCACCATCCATCGCTGTCAGCGGCATTCACATTCACCCCATACTGCACCAGGAACTTAACGATTTCTGTATGTCCAGCACATACAGCATTGTGCAGGGCAGTGATGCCCTCATCATTGGGCAAACTGGGGTCGTCCACCTGGATATCATATATACAGACATGTATCTGATCTGTGTATAAGTTACTAGTGGATGATGTATGCAAGTGATCATGGCCTTTGCCTCACCTCATATATGATCCTCTGGACAAGGTCGTACTCGCCCTCTAAAGAGGAATCCAGCAGGAGGGCCAGGGGGTTAAAGCGCACGCGCATCCCGTGGTTAATGCGCTCTGAGCCAGTCTTGCGCAGGTTAGTTCTCTTGCCCTGAAAAGCGGATGGGGATGAATAAAAGGTTGTGCATTTATTATATAAAAGAATGAAATTCTGTATGCATTGTATAATTTATTAATTCCTTCATAGTGGGGATGTGCTAAAGTTTGTGAACATGAAGTAATCATACTCCTGTAGGTGTTAGACATGAACCACTCTTTCATTCCTCATATTAAAAGCCCATTGAGGGTCACTGGTTGCCACTTCTGCTCCATTTAAATGTTTAATGAGATCCGTGTGGAGTGCTCAGAATCTTAGTGTGGCTTGTTGCTAAGCAACAGCCCAGAATGGATGGTTTGATCGGAATCTCTACTGACCTTACTTGTCTTCATCCTTACTCTTTCTCGATCTCCCCTTTTTCGCTGTCTGTGGCCTGACTTAGCTCTAGGTTAAATGCTTAGATAGTGTTGTATTTATAATAAAGGTATTTGTCCCAAATATTGGCATTATAACTTGGGAACTTGTTCAGAATCTACATTTTGGTACTGTAATGCTGTATAGCTTGTTGAATTGTAAAAATACATAGAAGGCATCATATGATATTGTGTACTTAATGGACTCAAATAAAGGACAAGAGACTGTAGCATGTTCTGGTTGTCATTTCATGAATGAACAGGGGTTCACTTACTAGTGTGGCTGTGATTCACACGCTATGCATGCTTTGGTCTCCCAAGTTTACCCGCAGTGTTTGACTGCAATGCACTGCTCAGTGTTGAGTCAGTACCTGACGATTCTCAAATGCTTGCACACCTTAGCACAGCAAAAAAGATTTTCAATTTCAACGCATCCATCAAGACCAACCCTGAAGCTGGGGTACTCCTAACACATTTTAGACTTTATTGGACACAACAATTTAAGGTCTAAGCCTCGAATATTGAACTGATGAGTTAAGGTTGATTAGGAATACAATATATGCAGTAAAGGGAGCTGAAAAATGCTGATCAAGGCATAGAAAATGCTTTCGTTTTTTTTTTTTTTTGGCTGTTTGTTCACAGGCAATGATTCTTAAATGACTCCCTGACCTCCTAAGATTTCTAGTTTGTTAAATATATGCCTGGAGGACTGTTAATGTGTGTTCACACAATAGCTGGAGGCTGCAAAAGTTGCTGTAAGGCCGGTTAACTGTAGGTCAACTACAGTAGAAGGTGAATCTTGTTGACTCAGATTGGCAACCATAACAATAAATCACTGCTTGAGCTGCACTTTCTCTATTGACCTTATTCTAAAATGCGGAAGTGCGCCTGTTTTCGCGATTGTCTTAGAACTTCCGTTTCAGTCGCCTATGGGAGAAATGACAAGGAATAATAAACGGCAAAAAACGGTCAAACTACTTGCTCTACAAACAAATGTTTGCATGACTATACAGACCAAGTAGAATAATATAACAAGGAAATATCAGTTTGCAACATTAAACAGCGAAACGAGCAGTTTTTAATGTCTAAAAATGAATGGAAGTGAATGAGACCGGAAGTCTCGTGCCAAAAAGATTCAAATGGCAGCGCCCGCTCGTCTGCGGAGAATAAGGTCAATACCAGTCCACCATAAGTCATTCCCTGCAGCTGATAGACTTTATAAGTAGAGGTGTGAACCTATACTGGTCTCACGGTTCGGTTTGGTTACGATTATCATGCCATCGATTCGGTTCAATTCGATATCTCGGTGCATCACGGTGCATTGACGATGCTTTCCATATATAGTGTTATATTTTAGGGGGGAGGCTATAACATGCTGTCTGTATAAACACACAGACACACAGCAACACACTGTCTCTCATTCAAACACATTCACAAACATAGACAGCATCAAACAAACAAACACACACACGCACACACACACACACACACACACAAACAAACACACTTAAGCCCTTGCAACAGGGAGAGCTCGCGCTGAGCGGAGCAAAAAAACGAGAAAAAAAAAACGAAAAAAAATAAGCACTTTTCCGACGGTCCCTTACTGAGAGCTCCTCTCAGCGTAAACGCAGACTGTGAGGGCTTAAACGGAGCAGTGCTCGTAATGTCGAGCGAAAAAAAGAAAGACAGCTGTGAAACATAACCAGCTTTGTCTTTCTGTAGGAAACACACTTTTGATCTTTTTAGGGTAAGCGTTTTTTGAGTTATTGCCATCTATAACTTAATGTGTGTCAGGAAAATCGAAAACAAAACCAACTGAAGCGCGCTAATTTCTGGCGCCCCCCCTGGATATACAGCGCCCTAAGCATTTGCCTATGGTGCCTATGCCACGGGCCGGCCCTGAGTTGGCTGAGTGTTGTAAATAACGGCGCTCACCTCCCTCGCGACAGAGCGCATAGGAGATAAATGACGTCACTACATAATAACCGGTTATGGTTATTACTGAATCGATACCGAATTGTCCGCGTCTGCATCGCGGTGTACCGAAGAAACAATTAAGTTTCTTCCAGCATAAACCACGGCAAATGAAGTTCTGCACAAGACTTTTGGCCAGCGGAGAAATTAAAATGGTCGTGCCCAACTGAGTCTGGTTCTCTCAAGGTTTTTTTTTCTTCACTCCCATCAGGTGAAGTTTTTTTTCCCTCTCCGCTGTCGCCACTGCCTCGCATGGTTCAGGATTGGTAGAGCTACGCATCGATGAATTTGCTCTTCAGTGTTTGAACTCTCAGTAATGATTAAATCACACTGAACTGAGCTAAACTGAACTGAACTGAACTTAAACACTAAAACCTGAACCACACTGTTACAGTTACTGAACCACACTGTTCCAGTTACTATGACCATTTATGTGAAGCTGCTTTGACACAATCTACATTGTAAAAGCGCTATACAAATAAAGCTGAATTGAATTGAATTGAATTTTGACATCCCTATTTATAAGGCATGTCAATGTTGCAACAAATACTTTAACTTTGATGCATTAAACCGATGTCTGGAATACTTGATTCTGATTGGTCAATCACAACTCCAAGGTGTGTTATTTCGAAAAAAAAAAAACAATAAACAATAAGTGAATACGTTTGCATCCATATTTATATGCTTGTCCGTCATGCTGCTGTTTTTGACTGTTTGCTGCAATCTTGTGTTTGAATATTATGTAGGTTATTGTATGCTCCATTCAGCCTTTTTCATTCCTGTCAGCTTTTTTTTAATGCTGCGTTCACACCAGATGCGGATAAAGCATCAAACTCGAGTGATTTACATATAAGTCAATGCAAAGATGCAAATAGACATCCTGGGTGCCAGATGCACAAAGGAGGCACCACGAATGGCGCCATTCACGTGAATGAAGCAGTGCAAGTTAAGCATTTTGCGCGATTGATGCTTCTAACTCGCATTCTGCGGGAATCGCTCAAGTTTGAAAATCTGAACTTCAGCAGACATTCGCGCCACGTTACCCAATCAGGAGCTTGTTCTTATAGGGGCATGCTTATGATGTAGTGCCTGTTGTTGGTGTCCTGGGGGGAAATCCTCTGCCCGACACCAAACAACAGTTGATCAAACTGAGCTTGGCTCAGTCAGAAGCACCGCTGAAAGCTTCCATCATCCAGGTTAAGTTTGTGGAGGAGTTAATCAACTCACAAAGCTGGTGCACCACTGAAAAGATCTAATAGACTCATACACGGCTCCAAATGTATCAACTCTGTGTTTTAGCCTTTATAAAGAAGATAAACATAGTTACTTTGTCTATAAAATCCATGTTAGCCGTCAGGCACCGGAAGCTACAGTCACTGGGCAGACAGAAGCCCTGCCTATGATGCAAATCCGCGTCTATTGCTCAGTGAATTTGATGCATGAATGAAGTGGATTTGACGCACAAATGAAGAAAGTAAACTTAAAATGTTCACGTGTGTATTTATGCATGAATATCGCAATTTATCCATGCGTTCTGCGTCTGGTATGAACACAGCATGACAAGTAGACATGTAATAACCAGGATAAAGTACATCCAGGTGGTTGTTTTAGCAGAATAAAGCCATCAGTCTTAATAAGCATGTTTGATTGCGCTTGTAAAAATTGCTGGATGTACATATCCCCTAATCGTAGCCACTACAGTGGTATTAACACACCTGATAGATCATGATTAGGTAGATTTTCCTGAGGTGTTTGTGTCTAGTAGTACCTACCGGTGGTAACATGACCTGTCCCGTGACCTCTGGAGCCTTCATATTGATGCTGTCCTCCCCTGGTCCCTCCTGCTCTGTCATACTAGGATATGGAGGTGGAGGGTAAGGTGGGTACTCCTCAACATATGGCTCTGGAGCAGCTGGGCCATAGACTTCCTGTTCTTCCTTTAGCTGAGGTTCATTCAGTCCAGTGCTAAAATTGGAGTTGTCATCCAGGATTGGAGATCGAGGTGGAAGCGGTGGAGGCGTCAGCTCTTCCTCTTCTCTCTCACACTCAGGTATCGTATTATCATGGTGTCCCTCCTGGGGTCTAGTGCTTTCATTAGTTACAGGCCTGCATCCATCTTCACCTTCTGCCGGAAAGAAAGCAGCTGGGGCGATAGTCTCCATAGCTGCCAATGTAGTCTTCTGGTAGAGGAGCTTCTGAATGTTGGGTCCACCGGGCCCCTCGGATTCGGTTATAGAGCCACGCTTTTTAAGAGGTCTAGGCGCATTGTGCAGTCTCTTCCTGAGGGCCTCCAGGTCAACATCACTCTGGAGTCGATGAGAATTTGAGAGGAACGGGAGAAGTTTGGTTGGACTGAGGGGTCGGGGAACACGTTCTGCCTCCTGGCCCTCAACAGAGGAGGATGCAGGGGCTGTGTTACTGCTGCCCTGGTCCACTTGGTCACCGTCTAGACCACAGATTTTTTCAATATGACTGAAGTCCTGGATAAAGGACTGCTGTCCCACACTGGATGGGATGACTGGCTTACCGTATACTGTGAGAGGAAAAGAATAAGGATAACTTCATAAAAAAGAAATAAAAACCAAGATGGCTGTACAATGTTATCTGTATTTCTGTCCAACCATTTAAAGTCTGTGTGTACCAGAAGTTACTGAGACTTTCATTTGATATGTTGCTGTACTTCCTATTGAAATATAATATTAAGTTGGGGGTGGGGATTTCATTTTGCAAATCATCCCCTAATAGCAAACTAACAATAAAAGTGAAGTGGTTAAGAATATAGTGTCAAACTGACTTCGACAGTGAAGGACTGACACTCCATACTCAGAAGCTAATGCTCAAAATTTGATTAAAGATTACCAAAATAAACTGTTGTAATTCTGTTGTTAATCTAAGAAATAACAACGTGGACTAGCAGAACAAACATTGTACATTTTGATTTCACACAGACTTCAAATAAGACCATAGAATATGTTTCTAAGGTAGATCTAATTTAGACAATCCATTATACATCCTCATTCAATATTTGTTTCCGTCTGAGCGACAGTGTACCTATTCATTTCAAAGCAATTTGCCTATGTGCTCTTAGTTTTAAAGATATGCAAAGTTAGAACCAAGGGACTGCAAAGTTATGTAACAAAGGAATGAGTCATCTCTTTGTGAAAAGTGAGCATCACCATGAGCCCTACCCTGGAGGGTAGAGTTTAGGTACACCCCCTGTTTTATTGTCAAATAATTCCCTTCTCATTTTCAAGTACAATAAATATGCAACGCTGCTAAAATAATAACCTAAATGAAAGCTTTCTGTCAAATAATGTCTGCTTATGTCTTTAATTCATATATTTTTACAACTTTGTTACACAGTAGTGTTGCACTTGTTCAAGTGCATAAAATGTTATTTGTAATTTCCATATACTTAGATGAAATTTGGTAGAAGTCAGACATGCTTCCGTGTCTACTAATTAAGTAGATTGATTTAAATACTACAAATCCTTTGTTTCTAATTTGTTTCTGCGCTGAAAAGCTTTAAACTAAACACAAAAAGCTTTTGAAAATGTTCAGACGCAAGGCTCGGATTAAGACTATATCCATGTTTATTTGAAGCTAAAAATCCTGCTGAGACTTTCAGTCTTTTACATAACCACAAAACACCTAAGCTTTTTCAAATAAATGATACACTGTTTTCCCACTCCTGTGCTGAAACAGCCTTAAAATCCCAGTTTGACGATAAAATAAATATTAGATTAAGGTAGTCAATGTCTTAGAAGCTGGTTTTGTGTGCACTCTTGGGGAATTGTTACATCTTGTGTAATAGATACTTAGGCCCCGTTTACACTAATTGATTTTGGTTTTAAATTGTCATTTAGAATGAAAAAAACAACAACGTCCACATTGGCAATTCATCTAGCATTTGTAAAAAATATCTCTGTCCACACTATACAGCTGAAAACGTACATCACGTGACAATATACGCACTTTGACATTGCACATTGGGTTCAAGTCTAAGAAGGAAGTATGTGTTTTACTTGCCATTTGGTTACTAGTCAACAAAGCTGAGCGGTTGAACAACGAAAGCGATGCCAAACAATAATGTGGGAAAATTTCCATTTTTGTGTATCTATGTTGTTGTTTACAGGTCATCAAGACTAGTCTGTCATCTTCCGGTAGCATTATTATCATATGATAGGGGTTTGATGAATGAGGAAAGGGTATGCAATAACTCAAAAAAATAAAAAAATAAAAATCAAGGAGTAGCAGGGCTCGCAAAATCTGATGGCCCGAAGTACCGGGGCTACTGTTTTTTTCAGTCGGGCTACTAAAATCTATCTACACCATGCCCGATGGGTTATCTAGATAGCATGTCAGACATGGTGTAGATAAATTTTGGTAGCCCGACTAAGATTTTGCGAGCACTGAGTAGCCATGCCGAAGTCTCAATTTTGGGTTTGAAAACTCTAGGGTAGTGTGGAGGCATAACAGTATCAAAGGTTATGCGTTTTAAAACTAAAATGCATTGATGCAAACTGGGCCTTAAGAAATTCATCACTAGGTACCTCTAAATTTGTTTGGGTCTCTGATGTGGTGGAAGTACTCACGTCGAGGTTGTGAACGGGTCAAAGTACTTTGCCCCTGGTAACCCTTTCCAAGAGTGCTTTGTTGGGTATACATTGAGTAGATGGAACTTGCTGCCACTGTCTGGGGCTTATGGAGTGTAGTGGGGGTCGACGTGTCTTTTCCTGCCAAAGTATCTGAGGTGAAAGGCCGTACTGTTGCAGCAGGTAAGGTGTCTGGTTTAGGGGGTAGAGGTAGGGGTAAGGTGTTGTTGTGGGATGGAAGGGGCATTGGAGGTTTTTGGTTGGCTGATCTTGCTTTGCCAGGGAATGTGCCCGTGCTGTAAGGAAGCTTACTGAAGGTGGACTGGCCTGACAGAGCAGGTTTGGGCTTACTGGGAACAGGAGGTGGAACCTTCTCAAATGTTCTACCTGCAGACTACAATTGAAAAGGTGTTAGTGTTCATTTAATACGAATATGAGTAAATTGTTCAACTCAGGCATTCAATGCAGTACCTGGGAATCCCTTAAGAGGTCCTCACTACTCTGGTTCTTGCGTAATGGCAATGGTGGCGGTCTCAAATCTACCTCAGGATCTATGAAAGATTTTCACAAAAACAGCTCAATCAGCACTCTTAAGGTTTAAACACTATGATTTCAAAGGGTCAAATGTGTACTGGTTGTTAAATTCTTAAGATTATCAATGTTTAATAGAGAGACAACTTCAAGTAAGCAATTTGTGCTTGGTTTCCTGAAGAATGTAAACACTGTGGCACTATCAAAGCATTGCTTAGTTTAAGTGGTCTGACAAGTCAACATCTGGCTCAACTGATTGTGTGTCTAAATGCAGGGCTTTAAAAGCAGGAGGTAGGAGTATTATACCTTTCTCCTGGGATCCGTGACTGGTCATGCGGGGAAGGGTGGATGAGTGGACATGGGAACTTTTGCTGGTTTCTGTGCTGGAGAACAAGTCTGACATCTTGGATATCTTGCCTGTTAAGAAACCACCTGGGAGGAGAATTTAGACAAGATTAAATCAAGGGTTATTGTTAAAATAGTATGGATACAGCCACAAATAAGGTTGTATAATGCAAATATAAACATACTGACTCACCTGTGGTTGGTTTTGGGAGAGGTTTGGGAAGGGTAGCTGTGCCATCAGGATAAGCAGGCTTCACTAAAATCTCTTGCTTGGGGGGAAGTGGAGGAGCTGGGGTGGTCTGGATGTATGGCCCGACAGCAGCAACCCTGGAAGGGCCAATAGACTGAGGGTTCTGCCCTTCAGATGGCTGCTGGAAGTGGAAAATACAAAGATGATGAATTTCTGCGCAAACACAAACCACATCTGTGTCCAAAAAATATGGAAAGCGTGAAAGTTGCTCACAGGCAAGTTCTCTTTCTGTTGAAGAGCAGCTTTTTTCTTCCACAGCCTTTCTCTCAGTTCAGCCACTCTTTTGTCCATGGCGGCCATTTCTACGTTCCTCTTGTTTAGATTCTCTCTCTGCTGCTGGAGTTTGGCACTTTGCTCCTGATTCAATTTATTCCTCAGCTGCAGAAAAAAGAGAATGTCAGAACAAAAGAGGCACTGTTGAATTTTGAGCACTGGACAATCACTTTCAATCCCCAACCTTTTTCATTAAAATACATGTAAATCCCACTTGATTCGAAGATGTCTTTTAAAAAGTGCCCAATAGCACTGCATGTGTTGCAAAAATTGGCAAGAGGTACCTGAAGTTCTTTGTACAGTCGCTCCAGTTCTCCACTGGAGCTCGGTCCAGCCTCGTGTGGCATGTCCATTTTTCCACTACGTAACACGTCTAGTTGTCGACTCAACTCTTCCACCCTGCTAACGGCCACCACCAGCTCCCGCTGCTTCTGCTGGAACAGACCATTCATCTGCTCGATTTCCTCCACTACAGAGAGAGAGAGAAAAATGAAGTGTATCATTCAACTGTTAATTAACTTCTTATTCCCATAAGCAAGATCATTTGTTGTTGTCTCTGCTGATTAATTTAGTCGCTGATGGCATTTTTTATAACAGAAACGCTAGAATGATCTTTTCCATTAGTGGGCCAATGATTTACAACAAATTATATCTCAAGTGATTTTGAAAAACCTTTTTAAAACCGCCTCCTCATTCACAAACAAACCAGTTGCAATTCCATTTGGTGCCACTAATAGATCAAAAAATGACAAGCTTCACCTTGAACTAATATTCCTACAAGAAGGTTAATGTTAAATCCTTTTCAGTGCTTCCAACCTACTTTTTCCCTTCGAGTTTACAGGTTCTGACCTAGTTTGCTATTGCTGATGCGTTTCTGTTCCACTTGTCCTTTCAGAGCTCGAACTCTGCGCAGTTTGGCCTCCTGGTTCTCTGCATTCTCACGCAGCTGTCGCAGTTTCTCCTGCTCGGACACCTGCTGCTGCTGTTGCCGCTGGTCCTGTAGCTTCAGGAATCGCAGTCGCTGTTCCTGTGAGAAAGCGTCGGGTTACAACAAACTCACCCAAACTCATTTTCAGACATGATTATGCTTCAAAATTATGTGCCTAATGTGTTCATTTATGCTGTAAATGAACAAATAATTTCTGATATTGAGAACATAACAAATGTTATAACTCTAAAAACGTTCTCATGGCCAGAAGAGTGAGGTTTACCAGCGTAGCTGCATCTGTTAAACTTACGCACCAATTTAACTTTTCTGGTTTTATTGCTTTGCTCCAAGTGGGGTTCAAAATTGTCATAGAGGATATGACTTTCAGCCCCCTTCTGAGGCCTGGAGAGAGACTTTTACTCCCACAGATTAACTAACTATTATACTTACCTCCTAAACATCACTCTTATCTGGGTCACGGCACCAAGTTAACCCATCTGGTTCTATTCCCTTGACCAAGTGGAATTCAAAACTGCATGTCAGTCATGGAGTATGGGTCTGTCAGTCACTAGCATGCCTTTTGAGGCCTGGAGAGGGAGGTTTGCTTCCATTGATTAACTAGCTATTATGCTTTCCTTCAAAACCTCACTCCTATCTGGGTCATGGCACCAATTTAACCCTTCTGTTTCTATTGCCTTGCTTCAGGTAGGAATCAAAACTGCCTTTCTGTCATGAAGGACATGCCTGTCAGTCACTAGCATGGCTTTAGAGGTCTGTAGAGTGAGGTTTGGTCAAACTGATTAACTAGCTATTATACTCACCTCCTAAACCTTACTCTCATCTGAGTCACGGCACCAATTTAACCCTTCTGGTTCTATTCCCTTGACCAAGTGAGACTCAAAACAGCATGTCAGTGATGAGAGATGGGCCTGTCAGACAGTAATGTGCCTTTTAAGGCCGGTAGGGTGAGGTCTGCTCCCACAGATTAACTACCTATCATGCTCACCTCCAAAACTTCACTCTCATCTGGATCATGGCACCAATATAAACCCTCCAGTCCCCCCTTTTTACCATTTTCAAAACTGCAATACCATCACGACAGGCAGGGATTAGTTGTTACTGTGCTTTCTGAGGTCAAGGGTACAATTTACAATTTACCTGCATTGCTCCTACTAGCTGGCCTCCATTACACTCATCCCCTTAAATCTTACTCCCATCTGTGCCATGGCACCATTGCAAACCCTCTGGTCCTGCTTGTGTTGCTCAGAGTGGCATTTATACTGATGTTTATGGCACCAGTATAATATTGTGCTATAGCCATGGAAGTGAGGCTTACTTCACACAGCTTCAACTAGCTGGACTTCTTTACAGGCAACCCCTTAATTCTCGGTCCCTTCCTGGTCACAGCACAAATTTAACTCCTCTAGTTCAACTTGACCCACTATAAGCAGGATTCAATACTGTATTTCTGACATGAGAATTGGAAGAATCAGTCCATTGCACCTTAAAAAGAAATACTGCTCTTTTCCAAACAATGGAAATGAATGGACACCAAAAACAGCCTTGCACAAAATGTATTAACACTGTATGGAAAAGAGCAGCTTGAATGCTCTGCTAAATATCTACTTTTGGGTTTAAATTAATTCATGTTTCAAGTCTCCTTTTAAGTTGTAAAAAAAATTGTGTAGTACCTTTGTGGCCAGGAGTTGTTGTTGTGCGTTAATCTGCTGCTGTTGCCGTGAAGCCATTTCTTGCAACTCGCTGAGAGTGATGTCCATATGAGGGGCTGCCATCTAAAAGAATATAAAGATTTAGCTTATTACATTGGAAAGCTATAGAGCAGGGGTGCTCCACACTACCCTAGACTTTCTAGAAAAATCCTTGCAGGTGTGCTGAAACAAGTTGAAGCTAAAATCTGCAGGACACTGTGACAAATATGGTAAAATTACGGTATATAAGCAGTTATGTGTATCATACTAGTGTTGTGGAATAATCAACCCTTAACATCATTTAGCAATGTCTTTAAATGATTAAATAGAAAGTTGTTGCGTTGTCTCAATTTATTCCAGCCCTAGCATGAAATATATCTACTTAATCTCGATCACTTTACATTATGTCCACATTTTGCTGAAAATGTCAGATTCACATCTGATTAAGCAGCAGTAGCCAAGGGGATGAAGTTTAGCACATTAACAAATCTCTAAAGGGGAATTAATACTCACCCCATTCTCCATTAGTCTGTCCTTTACTGCGTTAGTGCGTTTGGCAAGAGACTCTGGAGTTCTGTGACCTCCTGTAATTAGAGACAGAGTTAGTAACATCTGCTAAGGTAATCAAAATATTGCTCATATTTAGCATTATGGATTTAAATTAAAAGGATACTTTACTACACAAAAATCTTTATATATTGCATATTTATTCAGCCTCCACTTTTTTCGAACAAAGTTTTTTGTTTTATTGAACACAACATAAGATATTTAGCATAGCATGTTGGACACTGGTAACCTTTGACGTATTTATAGTATTATTTTACCTATTTTTTCTGTCATTAACTTATTCTTTTACAACTTTTCAAGCTAAGAAGACAAATGATAGCTCGAAAATGTGTTTCGTTGAGGTATATGTATTGAGTATATGAGTGCATATACTGTATATTACTCAAAGTTCAACTGTTAGCATTTAGCTAGCTAGCATCTTAATACTCAAAACAGTGCAGGCCAGAAACAACCGATTAAGCCTGAAATAAAAAGTGGCTGTGCTGGGGTGAACCTCATTACATAATGACTGTTTGGCTGGAAAAAACAGCTAGCGCTCAATTATCTAGCATATGACTGCCTGTGCCAGGGTCCCACTTACATAACATCAACACTGGCAACGCTAGCGCCACTTATGTGGGTTACCGGATAAACCAGTCTAAGAGCGAGAAACAATGGCCAAATAATGTTCTTGGTCACAGTCTGACACCACAGGGGTCCTAATCAGGGCTTACTGATTACACAAGGCTAGGTGTTTACCTCAAATCTGCGTGAAAACAAACCACAAACACGGTAGATACGAGTCAAACTGCGTGTAATTGACATAATTACGATGGAAAGAAACAGAAGAAAGTCTTTGTGAGGTAAAGGCAGGCGTACAGAGCCGATATCGCTGGCATTGTTGTACAACAGCCGGTCTTTGTCCAGTGAAGAGGGTCAAAGTCACTGGGAGAAATCTGAAACCTCGCACACGGTTTCACATGACTGCCATCTTTAAACTTTTCCATGGGAACAGGGAGGATTCACTTCAAACACAGGCCATAAACACATTAGGAGAAACTGAGACAAAAGGGATTTTCTGAGTAAAAAAATAGCATACACAACAAGTGACAAAATTACTTTAGGTTTTGTGAGAATTCCTTGTGCATTTTTCTAGACACACACACACATAATCATAAATAAAGAAAGTATTTAAATAAATGTTATATAATCTATATTAAATGAAATAACTTGTGCAATTTATTTATGACAGATATTGATATTTCTAATTAATAATACAAACAGATTTTGTTATTTATTAAACAATGTAAAATAATATTTTAAAAAATCATGATTTACTTAAAAATATAATAAAAATACTAAAACAATACCAGAAATATAAAAAGATAATATAATATAATACAATACGATATAATATAATATAATATAACATAACACAATATAATATATAATATAATATAATACAATATAGTATAATATAATACAATGCAATACAATATAATATAACACAATATAATATATAATATAATATAATACAATATAGTATAATATAATACAATGCAATACAATATAATATAACACAATATAATATATAATATAATATAATTTATTATAATAAAATATAATATAATATAATATAATATATATTAATAATATAATATAATATAATATAATATAATATAATATAATATAATATAATATAATATAATATAACATAATATAATATAATATACAATATAATATAATATAATATAATATATAATATAATATAATATAATATATATTAATAATATAAAATAATATAATATAATATAACATAATATAATATAATATAATATACAATATAATATAATATAATATAATATAATATAATATAATATAATATAATATAATATAATATAATATAATATAATATAATATAATATAATATAATATCCTCTAAAAAAGTAATGCATCTATTATTAACTTCCAGGGCTTCTCACTTGAGTTATGTGCTATTTATGTGTTTGTTGATGTAGGAGTGGCGAAAATGAACAAAACAAGAACTAGATGAGAATATTGTAGACGACAGGTATGTATAGGTGTGTTTTAAATGTGTCTATGAGTGTGTGGGCAAAAGTGTTAGTTACTGCATTTTTGGATGCATTTGGATAGAAAAATATGAAATAAATCAGACATTATTACGTTTTAAATATAGTTTTATAAAGAATTATATTGGAAAGGGAGTTATAGGGGGGAAGAATTTACTTTTTTATTTTATATCTATTATTTTATATATTTTATATCTTATATTATGATTATGATGAACAAACATAATTTTGAATTAATGTTTCATTCCTGGATGAATCGGCATGCTTGAGGAATCTTTCGAACTAATTATTCAGTGACATTTTTAATAATTAATGGTCATATGACATATGACATCTCTCTTTCACACACGCACGCATGCACGCACACACGCATGCACGCACACTGCACAAGTAATGTCAGGTGATCAAGTAAATATCAGAAATGTCTCTGAACAGATTTCAGTATTGTATTTCATAATTCATATTCCAGATTTACCAACAGTTATTTCTCAATTTAAGTCTATTTAATGTTTTCCTTTTAGGGCAAGAAACCGCTGGTGAATATGGTCAAATATTAACCAATAGTTGTCACAGTATTTCCTGAATTGATTTAGGTTTTCCAAAATGTTATATTTCAATATGCACACAAGGCATTTGGTTAGTTAAGGATTCACTAATTTGCATACATTTTTAAGCACAAATATCTGAACACTGAATAAAAAAAAAATCTAAATTCTTGTTCAATCTTTTGGAAATTACAATCTATTTTTACAGAGGCTTTATTGCATATTTCTTCATAATTATGAATAATCAGGCATATTCTGTATAAACAAATCCCTTAGCAAAAAGCTTCAAAATAGAGATATAAGATATAAACAAAAGCAAAGTTTGATTAATGTGAAGCTGTTGAAGTGGAGATTTACTGTATGACTCAAACAATCTAAAAAATATGTATTATAATTGAATCTACTGAAGAAAATTGATTAGGTGCGACAAAAGTAACCCTTAAAGGTTAACTCTTATGTACTGTTGAGGATGTTGTCATCAACTCTGGATTTTTGGTGACAAATCTTATTTTGACACACATTTTGAGAAAGTGCTTAGATTTAAAAAAATCAAACTCTAAAATATGCACTTGGCAAATTGACTACCTTTTTGTTATGTCCAAAATGAAAACATCCACTAAATTAAACGGCTGTAAAAATGCATCAGATTATTATTTATTATTTTTTTTGCATAAACCTGAATAAATCAACCTCAGTCCTGATCTAAACTACTAAATTGCTAAGAAAATTACAGGATTTTAATTCTTTAATCGCCAAGTTCATAAATGATGTCCTTGATTTGTTAAAACACACACATACACACACACACACACACACACACACACACACACACACACACACACACACACACACACACACACACACAAGTTGATTTTCAACATAAAAAGTAGTTGTGAGCTGGATATTTTTACCCCTTTAACCACAGTCTTGGACATCTGAATGATTAGTAACCACACTGGCTTTTATGCATTGTTAGATTTTCTTTTTTTTTTTTCTACCTAATTTACTGTTGGTGATTGTTTTTCCCTGTTAACTTCCATTATAACCACATTTTTGGATTACAAAACCCTGAAACCATATAATCATGCAGTTTTGATTGTTGGTGGTTTTTACTGTTGGGAAAATTTGTAATTCTTACTGTTGATCATCAGTTGGCAGTATTAACCCTATAGATAGGCATGTGCAAAAAAGTTTAGTTTCTGGAATTTATATGCATGTTATGAGTATCACAGCAAATTTAAGTATGTGTATGTGTGTCTGACTGTGTGAGAGTGACCTTTGCGCACTTACCTTGATGTGTCTGAGAAAATCAAAATATGAATCTCAGCTCTCAGAACTACATGGAGTAAACGAAAACAAGACCGGGTATTCATGCACCATCAAATGTGATTATAATGAAAGACAATGATGCAAAAACAGCCACCAACAGTACATTTAGAAGAAAAATTGAAAATGCATCAAAGCCAATGTTCTTACTAATCGTTTACATGTCCAAGACTGTGATAAAAGCAAAGAAAAATCCAGTCCATAATTACTTTTTATATTGAAAACATGTCATTTTGAGTGTTTTTTTTCACCAAATCAGTGACACCTTGTGCAAATTTAGCAATAAAACAGTTAAAATCCTGTAAATTTCTAAACAACTTAGTAGTTTTGATCAGGACTGAAGTTTATTTATGCAAAAAAAATAAATAAATAAATAAAAAATATTTATCTGATGCATTTTTACAGCAGTTTAATCCAGTGGATGTTTTCATTCTGCACATAACAAAAGGGTATTCAATTTAAACAGTCCACAAGGGTTCATTTTGAATGTTGACTGAAAAAAAAGCTAATTATAAACAGCAATGTTTGCGTGCAGCGATATCTAAAAACATCTCCCCAGAGCAATACCAATTTCCATTGCACATGTTTATAGGACACAAAATAAAGATCCATTCTGATTCAGTGCGAAGCCCCCTTTCCCTTAGGCAGTACCCACCAAACAAGCCGTTCTGCAGTAAATAATTCATGCCTCAACACAGCTGTAACCATGTCAAATTTACAACCGCTCTATTCGCTGTCTCCCATAAAAAGAAATGACATTCACGCGTATCTGCAGCCGCTGCTTGTCCACACTGACAGCAGAGCACCAGCGGGCAGACCACCTAATCGAACATGCACTGATTTACCATGAAAAAAAATAAAGAGCTGGTCTATATTCAAATCACAATCTAGCCATATAACAGATAACAAATACTAAACTAGACCAACTATTCTGCATTCATTCGCATTGCTCAGTTTTTAGTATTTAGAAATCTGTCCTATCCATCCTCCCCTCTCCTCGACACCTTTGTCATAAATGGTATTATTTTTATTTTTTGTAATCATTATTATTATTACTGTTCTGACTTGTCCGGTTAT